GGAGATTATTAACTCATCAAGTTCCTACACCCAAAAAATTTTATAATGATGATGAATTTAATATTTATAAAAATATATTATTTGAAACTAATTCTATATATCAAAACAATGATCCTTCAACGAAAAGAGCTAAATCAAGTCGTAGTGAAAAATATAGGGATATGATTAGTTCGATTTGGAAAGAAATGACAGAAACAACTGATAAGAAAAAAAATAATAAAAAGAAAGAAAATAATGAAGATAATGAAATTTTTGAAAAAAAAGAAAATAATGAAATATTAGCTGAAGATAATCAAATAGGGGAGGGTTTAAAGAAATACACAGAAAATCATATTGAATATCGTTATATTAGTAATGTAAACCAAGTGATAGATAATTTACAGTTTATTTCTTCAGAAGAAAGAGCTGGAAATAATAATTTTAAAAACGAAAAACTTGGTATTGTTCATTTATTTAAATCAATTATGGAAAATCTTATTGATACTCCTGAAGGTATTGAATATTTACTAAAATATGTAACTTGTTTACCAAAGGAAGTGAAAATATCAAAAGAAAAAATAATTAAACGTATACAATATATATCAATTGAAGAAAGTATAGGAAATAATATTTACCATGATGAAAAACTTGATATTCTTAATATTTGTATTAGAGAAATGGAAAAATTAATTGATATACCTATTAACGGTGCAGATTATTTATCATCATATGTTTCATGTTTACCAAAGAAAATTATTACAGGTTCAGGAATTGTTAATTATCTTTTGAATTGTTCAAATTTACCTGAAATACATTGGCCTGGCTATAATTATTTAGGACCGGGAACAAAGTTAGAAAAAAATAAAAAACCTAAAAACAAATTAGATGAAGCTGCGAGAGAACATGATTATTTTTATAAAGATAATAAAGATACTAAAACAAGACATATTGCTGATAAAATTTTAGAAAAAAAAGCAATGGAAAGATTTTATGATCCTCATAGTTCTATAGGTGAAAAAACTGCAGCCATTTTTACAGCAAATGTAATGAATGTTAAAAGACGATTTGGAATGAATTTAATTTAATTTAATTTAATTTAATTTAATTTAATTTAATATTTTGTATTATAAAATGAATCTAAATTTAAATAAAAAAACAATTTAATAAAATATTGAAAGCTCATAAAAATAATAAAGATGTATCAATTCTAATTGAAAATAATCAAATTGATAGTGGAAAACATAAATTTATTCTTGAGCCAGAACAAATAAGAAAATTAAAAAACGCTAAAAAAAATAATACCGGATCAAGTTTAGAACTTAAACATGTTCAAATTAAAAAAGGTGGATTTTTACCAATAGCTATTGCTGTGGTTGAAGGTGTAAGTGCTTTGGCTGCAGGTGCTAGTGCACTTTATACTGCAGTAACTGATGCTAAACACAAAAAAAAAATGGAACAAGAAACAATTCGACATAATAAAGAGATGGAAAAAATTAGATCACAAGGTTCTGGCTTGAAAAAAAAAAAAAAAAAAATATTGAAAAAAAAATTGAAAAAATGAATAAATTTGAAATAACAACATTTAGAAATAATATTGAAAAATTTGAAGGTATTTATACACGGTTTTGGATTAAAAAAAATAATGTAAAAATTGATCCATTGAGTAATATAGATATAAATTATTTTGGAAATAAAATAAAAAATTATAGAGGGTGTTTTATGTTAAATGAATTACCTACAACACCATGGGAAAATGAATGTGGAGTATTTAATTTAAATGATTCTACTCAAAATGGTTCTCATTGGGTTGCATGGAAAAAAATAAACAATACATTTAAAATATATTTTGATCCATTTGGTCATATAGTTGGTGAGCCACCAAAAGAACTTTTAAAATATTTGGGTAAAGATAATCTTTTTTGTACTGTTTCCCAATTTCAATACTATAATGATCCACCTATATGTGGTCATTTATGTTTAGAATTTATTGAAAATTATAAAAAATTTATTTAAATATTTTATTTTTTTAATAGGAATATTTCTATTAAAAATAACAACTTGTTTAATATATATTTAACAACGAGTAAACGAGTAAACGAATAAACGAGTAAACGAATAAACGAGTAAACGAATAAACGAGTCGTTGTTTTTTACGTTAACTCGTTGACGTTGTTTTTTTTTTTACGTTAACGTTGTTTTTTAACAACTCGTTGTTTTAATAATTCGATGTTAAAAAAAAAAAAATATATTTACTAATATAAATAATAGAAATGGAAAATATCAAAACACTTTTAAATATGATTGAACAACAACGTAAAATCCTAAGACCTATATTTAATGATAGTGATATTGATATTGATATTGACTGTGAAATTAGTAATAAGTTATGGAATCATATAATGGGTAATTGCTGTTTTGAAAATCTTTTAAAATATGATTATTACAAAAAACATAATCAATTAAAATCATTTAACTTCCGTTTCATTAGTAATTGTTGTTTCGAAAATATTTTAAGTTTTATTAAAAACAAAAATTATAATGAAATGAAACTTTCATTAAACGAACTACGTAAATTAATACAAGAGGAATTACACGATTTGAATAATAATAATAATAATTATATGGAGCTAGACTGATTATTTTTTAAACTTTGAAAATTTAAATCGAATATAATACTTACGAAGTATTATATATAATATTATAGTACCTATACAGTGTGGTATAATAATAATAATAATAATAATAATAATATATATATATCAATGTTGTGCTGATTATTTTTTTAACATCCGGTATTGAATACCTTATCATAATATATATGTATAGTTTATATTATGATGTTTTTTTATCAAATTATTTAAATAGTGTTTAAATAATCATTATACATGCCCAAGTGTTGTAGCTCAGTGGTTAAGGCGTTTGATTTAAATGTGTTCTTGGTCGGATTGAAACTAGTGGGGGAATGTGTAGCGCTGCATATTCACCTACTAATTTCGTCAGGCTTTGAAGACGTTTACGGTAGATTGTATAGGTGGGTGCACACACCTATGCGATCTACTGAAAAACTGTCGTTGACCTGCTGAATAAAGCACTTGGGTAACTTCACTGCCCACGATAGCTTTGCAGATATCTGTAAAAGAGTTCCGGCCTCCTTTTTTCCTAACGGGTATCTGCAAAGCTGGGAATGATTTTGTAGATTTTTTGCATTTTTTTCCATATTTCTATTAAAAATATTAAAAAATAACGCGATCGTATATGTCCTATATTTTATTTAATATTTGATATTATCAAGTCGGATCAACACAGATATGTTTTATATACTTATCTACACTACATATTAAAAGTTTACCCCCCGCTTCATATTTTTCATTTAAGTATAACTCCGTTGCTTTTTATGTTAGAATCTTCATTTTTACACTTAACATTTTTGATTTTAATTCTTTATAAGTCCCCCTCATAGTATCATAGTGTAAAATCGTTTTTAAAGATTTTTGGACGCGACATCATACGAAGACAACATATTTTAATATTTCCTAAATCTTGAACAACAAAAATATCATGGAGATATTCGGCAATAATACCAGTTGTATTTATTAAATCATTAGCTATTTTACAAATTTCAAGCCATGTTGGCGATTCTAGTACTTTAGAAGCATAAGGTTTTCCTAGTTTTCGTTTTCTATGTATAGAAATATTGTTTTCAACAATTAAAATATTTCCTTCAATTGGAATTTTATGTAGATTATATTTAATATTCTCAGAATTTTCATAGTATTCAAAAGCACAAAATTTCACATAAAATTTTTTTTTTTTTATACTTTTTTTTATTTCATTTTGCATTTCTTTTTCTTGTACCTTATTAAAATTATTTATAGTTTCCATTCTTTTATTATAAATTTCAATTCCTTTAACTCAGGTATTCAATTTCTTTTTATACATTTTTTGCATTTCAATTTTTATTTTTAATAGAACAATTCTATTAAAAAATATTTTAATTATTAATATCATAAGTATTATGAAAAATATTTTGGGGGTGAAAATGTATTTAATAAGTTTTGCGAAAAATGTTTTTATTATTATTGCATTTCGATTTTTTTTATTATTATTGCATTTCATAAGTTTTGTGAAAAATGTTTTTATAATTATTGCATTTCATAAGTTTTGCGAAAAATTTTTTTAATTATTATTGCATTTCAATTTTCTGATCTTTTTGCACATTGTTTTCTTTGTGATCTTTTACTGATATATTATGAGGTGCGCCAGGAATGGTACATATATACTACTATTGTATGAAGATAGTGTGTATGTAATTTAAGAATATTGTGTAAATTGTTGTGTGATAATAAATATATTCCCTTAAACTTGATATTTGACTAAACTTTCCTGAAGCTCCCGAGTTACGGTAAAAATATAATTCATAGGGCTCTGAAAACCCTCACTGAATTATTTAAATATAACAGGTTCCCTAACCCCGTTACATTTTGGTGGAGGCGCCGTATCAATTAACATCTGCAACTAGGTAAAATATTAGGTTTTAGTGTGGATTTTATTATAGCACAATAGGTATATATTAAGGGATATTGGGTGGTAGATATAGGGTAGGTACATTTGAGGTGGTATACACTTTGGTAAAATAGAGATCAAGGGTGTAGGTACTATTTTAGAGTTTGTGGAGAATTGGTGTTAAGTGTAGGGTTAGTGTGATTAAGTGATATCAAGTGAGTGTTGATTTTATAGGTAGGTACCTATATATTAGGTGATATTGAGTGATAGATATCGTATAGGTACATAGGATATGATTTTGTTAGTGTAAAGTAAGTAAAGTTGTGGTATATGCTTTGGTAAAATCGGGACCAAGGTTTTAGGTACTATTTTAAAGTTTTTGGAGAATTATTGTCCAAGTGTAGGACTAGTGTGGTTAAGTGATATAGTACGTATAGGTGTTAAGGGCACTGGTTAAAAAAAAAATATATATATATATATAGTTATATTTTATTTCTGTTGTAAATCAAGATCATGGTATGTTTTTTTTGAAAAAGAAAACAGAGAAAATAGTAGTTAAATTAAATGAACATAACATTAAATTAATTGCTCCAGATTTCAACTGGTTTACAGCAGGTAGAAACGAAATTATTAAGTTACTTAACAGTATATCAGAGGAACAGTTAAAAGTATTGATTGATTCTCAAGAAAAAATAGAATTAAAAAATTTTGAAGGAAATAGTGAAGCATTAGACAATCAGGAAGTAGAATTTTTAGACTCTGCATTATCAGAAATAGAATTTGAGGTTTTTGAAAACGGAAAGTTAGGTAAGCTACCAAATATAAAGAAGGATAGGTTGGAAAAAATTTTAAGTGAGCAGTTCGGGCAAATTACGATAAATTATTCAGCAGAAAAATTAAGGGATCTTGCAAGGAGTTTGATAAAAGAGAAAATAGAGAATAGAAATAAAGAGAATAGTACTGGTAATCAATTTCCCGAGGTAAAATTGTTGGAAACTGCAGAAAACCACAATTTATTAGAGTGGTCGTACAGTCAAATTGCGGGGGACAGTAGTGCATTAGCTAATAGCTTAACACATAAATTACCTAAAGAAATAGGAAAAATGGATTTTAAAAAAATCATACACCGGCCGGATTATTTCGGGGGTAAATCGTCGGAAGATATTGAATGTTTTATTGAAAAATTCGAATAAATTGCGATTGTGAATGGGTGGAGGGATACAGAAAAAACAACGATTTTACCGTTATACTTAACAGATTCGGCGGCAAGCTTCGCTAATGTTTTGAAAATAAGGAGTCATAATCTTACATGGGACATATTGAAGGGTCAATTATTAGAAAATTTTACTTTAATCGGAAATAAAGATCTTTTGCGTGCTCAAATATCACAAAGGAAAGTAAAGGAGGGGGAAACACTTAAGGAGTATATAATAAATATGACTCAATTATGCTATAAATTTGATAAGAATATGACAGATGGAGAAATTTGTGGAAAAGTATTAAAGGGTTTGCCTGAGGAGGTGTATGAAAAAATTGGACTTTTAGAAAATAATACAATAGAGAGGATAAAAGCTAATGTAGAAAAGTATGAGTTGGCGAAACTGTTAAGGAGCACGGAAGAACCTAGTGTGGGAATGAAAAAACTTACTGAGGAGGTAAACTACCTGAAAAATTTTATTAAATCACTTAAGGTTAATGATAATACCAATGCGGAACCAAAAGGTAAAGGTTGTTCAAATAGTAATCATTGTTGTCAAAACACAGACTACGGAAATGGAAATGGTGTTTGGAGCAACAGTGGTTATAATAATTGTTTACCAAACGGATATTTTAGGCCAAACAATTTTAGTCCAAACAATAATGGTAATCAGGATGTTGGTAGATTTAACAACAATAATTTTTTTCAAAACACTGGTCACGCGGGTTATAATTAGTGTTTGAAAATTTCATGAAATTTAAAAAAATGAAATATTTCAAAATATGTGAAATATTTCAGTATTTTAATATATTTTGTTTTATTTTTAAATAAGTTTTATATTTACATATAATTGTCATAAATTACCTTCATCACTATATGGTACCTGTATGTATACCTAACCTTTGGTATTATACATTTAAATTGGTATTCAAAATTTTTAAATATTTTAATGTTTAAATGATACAAGTATGAAGTAGGTATACAATATTATACATGTATATTGTATACTTACTGAATTCTGACATTAGAATTTAGAACACTGAACATTTTGTTAAAAAAATAAATAAATTGTGTTTTTATTTGTGTTAAAAAAATTTCAATGTTTCACGTTTTTGTGAAATATTTCACAACTTAGTGAAATATTTCATGAAATATTTCTCATACTTCAAACACTAGTTATAATTATAGTTATGATGGTAATATTGCACAAAACAATATTGATGATAGGCCTCGGTTTCAAAATGCATATCAACAGGGACACCCCGAGCCGAATCAAAATCTAGGAAGTAGAAACAATATGACAGGGCCAGAGGTGTATAAACAACCAAATTGGCAAAATTATTCAAATAATGGGGCGAACGCAGCTAATTATTTTAATGGACCAGATCCAATCAGAAGGTGCTTTAATTGTGGTTCGCCAGCTCATTTTAGAAATAACTGTCCATTGTTGGCGTCAAAAAACGAGTAGAAGAACAGGCTGCTGGACCTGTTCAGAACATATTTAATAAACCCAGTGTACACGGAAATGTTAGGTCAATTAATTTACCCATAGCTTTAGGTAATGCATATCCTGGTGGAAAAATAGAAATAATCGGGGAAGTAAATGGTATAAAAACTCCTTTAATAATTGATACTGGAGCAAGCATTACGGTGGTGGATAGGAAAACAATAGTATCGGGAGAAGTAACACCAATTGATATAAATTTTAAACTCGAAACAGCTGACGGGGCATATTTAAAATTATTAGGTAATGCGGTGGTGTTGATAAAAGTTGGGACGATAGAATTAGCTCATAATTGTTTGGTGGCAGATAGGTTATGCTCCCCAATTTTGATAGGGGTAGATGTCATTAAAAAACTAAAAACTGTTATAAATTTAGATAATAATACAATAACTTTTAAACACAGTAAAAAAAGGGTAATTTTTAAATTGGGTGATAGGAATAAATTAGAGCAAACTAATCTATGTCACATGGCTCCGGTCACGTTTTTAAATCAACAAGGGAATGAAAGTATCATAAATTTGGCAAAAGAAAAAATTCAAGGTTTGATTTCGAAAGTCGGCGTTGCGGCTGAGGTCACAGCGGATGGGGATTGTGGGGCACATGCAGTGAGTTTTTGTCTAAAGCAATTTGGTATAGATTTGTCAACATTGGAGGTTTTGAATTTATTGTCGATTCCGAAGTGTAAAACCGGATATCAGTTATTTGACGAGGATATTGCTGCGGTATGTGACTTGTTTAATAAAAATCTTATTATAATTTACGAGAATACAAATATACAGAATGTAAAACAAAATATCGGGATTGTTTACTATAAATGCGAGCGGCAGTATTTGTGTATGTTGCATAGTAATCAACATTGGAGGCCGGGTATTTTTAATGATAAAATAAACAAGATGCTCGTGGCGCAAATACTAGTTTATGATCGGATTCCTAATATAGAAACAATTAGTACTAAGATAGGGAAAAAGTATTTTGAAAATTATTCGAGTTATTTTATTGATCCCGCGGGAGGTGAATTATTAGTACGATATAATGACGAGCAAAAGGGAAATAGTCTGAGTAATCATAATATCGTGAAGAATGAGTGTTCTACAATGTCAACCGGTTATTCAGTAAGGTGTGTAAACACGGATAGGGAAGTTGCTGAGACAGCATATTACAATAATAGTAACGCGTGTCGAACATTAGTAAATGTAAAAAACGATCGCGTAAATAGTGTCGAGTCAGTTGTTAATAAAAACAAAAATGACCTTAGTCTAGATTATTCAGATCAGAGACTAGGTCAAGCATATAGAAATAAAATAAAATACGATACGTCAAATAATTCGTTGAATGTAATTATTAATAAATCGAGAGCTGAAAAGGTAGTTAATAGTGTAGCACATCTGCTTAAAATGGGTATAAATGATATTGGAATGATAGGAACCATAAAATTCAATATAAATCCCGATCTATCAATAGAACAAAGGGGAAAATTACACACACTTTTAGCAAGGCATATAGATTGCTTTGCTGGTGGGCCGATGGACCTAGGGGCAATAGATATAGGGGACGTTGCAATACCTACAGTTTCAAATGATCCAGTAAGCTTACCACCATTTCGATTATCACTTAGTAGTCAAAAGGAGCTGCAGAGACAAGTGGATGAGTTTTTAGAGGCGGGACTTATTGTTTCGTCCAATTCAGCATACGCGAGTAATAAATTAATTAATTATTACGCGGATTACTTAAAGTATAGGAAGCAAGGTGTTGTTATTTTAAGTTAACTATAATTAGATAAAAATAAAAAAATAATATGATAGGTTAAGAGAAAGGAAAAAAAATCAAAAAAATATATACATATAAAAATGTACAAAAAAATATTGTGTAAGTATTAATTATAGGTGGACTCATATGAAAAAAGTGTGTGAAAAAAAACAGGGAAAAAAAACCCCCAATATGTAGAGAAAAAAAAATGTGTATTAATTTTAATATTAGAAAATAAGGAGATGAAAAATATATGTTTTATATAAAATGATAAAAAAAAAATGTGTATTAGTTTTAATATTAGAAAATAAGGAGATGAAAAATATATGTTTTATATAAAATAATAAAAAAAAAATGTATTAGTTTAATATTAGAAAATAAGGTAAAAACCAATAATGATTATCATGTCTCAGGTATAACGTAAATTATGTTTCAGTTGTAAGAAAATATTAATAATAAATATAGGTATTAATGTTGAATGTATATATGAAAATTAGGTTTTTGTATATAGGTATAAGAAAAAAATGTATTTAATATAAGATGATATATTAAGCAAAATTAACATAATAACGTTGATTAAATAGTAGAAACAATGTATTAGTGGTAAGGGGATATAATAAGGTGGCAAAATGTGTAAAAATGATTAGTTAAGGTGAAATGTATAGTATATGTTATATTTTGTGAAAATGTATTATAGTTGTTGAGACAATGTACCAGGTACCTACAGCCAGAACCATGCAACCTTCCAAGTGCCACGACATATAAAATCATATCATTGGTCAACTACAGGCAGCGGAAATAATAAATTACAATGGATATGGATTCCAGTCAAAGGGATCATATGGTATGATGCAGGCGTTTGAAGCTGACTAATAGACATATACATGATATGATATGATATAGGGTATATATCATTACTGGTAAAAAAAAAAAAAAGAAAAAGAAAAAAAGGTGTGAAGGATGTGGGTGATTGCTGCAAAGGTATCATGGTACAATATTGTTTATGGGATGATTTTTTGTTTGTTCCTTGAGTTTTTAAAGGGAGGGGGTAATGTAGCGGATCACATATGTGTGAGGCCGTTACATGGTATATAGTTAAGTATAAATAATAAGCAAGTATAGATGTAGATAATAATAAGGAAGAAGGCTTACACAGTATAGTCATCCGGGTACACATATATGTACACATTATGATATAGTATAAAAGAGACACATAATGTTAAGTTGGTTAGTTCTGGGACCAGTACAGCAGCCCGCTAACCAACGAACTCCGGAGGACGATACTGTAAGTAAGTCTTTCGATATTTAAGTAGCTTATAAGTATCCGTATTGAGTAATTATTGTATGAAGATAGTGTGTATGTAATTTAAGAATATTGTGTAAATTGTTGTGTGATAATAAATATATTCCCTTAAACTTGATATTTGACTAAACTTTCCTGAAGCTCCCGAGTTACGGTAAAAATATAATTCATAGGGCTCTGAAAACCCTCACTGAATTATTTAAATATAACAGGTTCCCTAACCCCGTTACAATTTCTTTCGATTTTCGTTCCGGCCACGTATATACGTACGAGTTGCGATAATTATTGTCGTCGAGTCCCCGGGAAATACGAGCAGGGTGCGCGTTTCGTTTTTATATAATATATATTAATTTTTTTCGTTGAACATATGCAATCGCGAATGACACGCGTAACGAAAGAGTTAAATGATTGACGACTCCGGGACAATTATGTACGCGGACCA